TCCCAAGAGTGCAATAGAATACGTTCCATTGCACTCTTTGCGAGTGCAATTGTACTATACGTTTTATTCCATTACACTCTTTGTGTTTTCGATAAATCGCATCCGTCAAAATGCTTCTCGTACGGTGATAGCAGTTTATTTTAACCCGATATTCGAAACTCAGTAAATGGGATTTAATGCAAATACGACTCGTCAAAGTGGCGGGAGCATAATTACAGTAAACCTTTTAATATTAGTCTATTTTGGTATTATATGAAACAAATGATGAATGTTTTTATTCGTGGAATGGTAAGAATATTTTCATTCGGTGAAAGATGGAATGTTCCATTCAACGTACTCGGCTGTCGCCTCGTTGAATGGAACATTCCATCTTTCACCTCATGAAAATATCCTTACCATTGCACTCATAAACATTCATTATTTGTATAATATACACATGGTTAAAATTATTGTGGGAAATAGCTAGAAATGCACTTTCCGCGTTTGTAATTTTCAATTTTTTCTGGGAGCCCCCCCCAATGTTAAAATCGCAGCTCGGTCCCTGAAGGGAGAGGGGTGAGCCCTGTTTCGTACCTCGCTAGATGCGGCGCTTATTCCAGCCAAGAAGAAGATCTGTGCCAACCCCAACGAGAATGCCAAGTTAGTGTGCAAGTGAGCTTGTTCTGTATTCAGGCCAATGAGAAGCACATAACTGGCGACAGTTAAAGTCTCTCCAATCAATGATAATGTAAGACCAACATATGTAATTATACTCAGGGCTTTGCGATGGCTTGCATCAACCTGAAATTGTTAGTGCATGTTAATTGAATCTAAATAAGAATATACTTCCAAAAATTAGGACAACTACTGGTTGCAATTTCCACTTATTGTATCAATTATACCATTTAGTTATATTGAACAAATATAAAACATTTTCCGTGTTGATATACAGTTATATCAAAACGGGTGGAAATTGGGAAAACGAGAAATTGTGTCGAGTTATCCCAATTTCCACGAGTGTTGACTGTTGATATAACTGTATATCAATGCGGAAAAATGTTTCATATATTTTTTATAATATACCACAAAGAAATATATAAAAGAAAGAAATTTTCCGTGTAAATATCAACACGGCTCTTAGCCAATCAGCGTTCAGAATTTACAAATGCTATATTATAAGTGTTGATATAACTCAACATCAACCGGAAAATTTCTTTCTTTATATTTCTTTGTGCTATATTATAAAAAAAATATAAAACATTTTTCCGTATTGATATACAGTTATATCAACACTCCTGCGGCTGCATAGCGTCGTGATTGCCATGCAATTATCATGCGATTGCCACGTGATTGTCATGTTACTATGTGGTTGTCATGTGTCGACAATGAATATGCTATTATCATGGATGGGACTATGGTGTGATTCTTGTGCAAATATCACGTGATTG